TTTGATATCACGGGAATGTCTTGAAACGTAGTCAAATGTAAAGCAAAACAGTGGATGTTGTATTGTCTTTTACCAGCTATTAGTTGTTGTATTTTTCTTTTACTAATAAAAATAATTTAAAAAAAAAAAAAGGATCAGCCACACTATGGGACACAGTTTGAATACCTGTGTATAATGAAACCTTTTTAGCTATAATTTGTAATTATAATGTAGAGTTTCAGCTGCTATCATTACCGTATATTTCAGAGTATAAGACGCACCAGAGTATAACATGCACCAAGGTTTTGAAGAGGCAAATTTTAAAAAAGTAGGTAGGTAGATAAAGGGATAGAGAGAGAGAGAAATAAAGAGAGATCGAGAGATAGAGAAATACAGTAGGTAGGTAGGGAGGGAGAGAGAGAGAGAGAGTAGGTAGGTATATAGGTAGATAGAGGGGGGCGGGGGGAGAGAGAAATACAGTAGATAGGTAGGGAGAGAGAGAGAGTAGGTAGGCAGGTAGATGTTTCCAGGTATATTTATCCATGTGCTGGAGAAGGAAATCACTGACAATCTGCAGTACCTAACACTTTGTTTCTGCTGACGCAGCACTTGATCAATGTAATTCTTCTCATCAATCAGTTAAAGAGCTTTCCAAAAGGGAAAAAAAAAGTTTTTGCACTCTGCAAACCTCCCAAAAACAGCCTGTTTTATGAAAATGGGCCCATTTTTTTTTAAAAGGCATGAATAGCTTTTGGGGGGGGGCTTGCAGAGTACTCCGGGGGGCAAAAATGAGCAAAAAAATGGCCTGTTTTTCGTGAAAATAGGGCCATTTGCTGCTGTGGGGTCTCCTCCTGTGTCTTCTGCCTGGCATTTGGCTCTTCCCTGCTTTGGCCTCTTAACACCTGGCCCCCCCTGACCGCGGCCTCTGGGCTCCTGGACTCGCTGGCGCAGCCCCATTTGGCTTTGACCCGCCATTGCCCCTGGGGTATCATCTTGGATAGCGCCCGCTCAAGTCATCTCATTTTGGCGCTCTGGACTTTGGATGGGTGGGGGCACTTACAACGAGTGCGGAGGCCCTCTGACTTGTTGGCAACACCTACCATTTACTCCTTGGTACATCTGCCCAACGGAAGGAGCGATGGAAGATGGAGAACTATGAGGGGGGACTTAATGTTTTTAAGGTACCCCCCTCTTCCATGATCCACCTCAGCCACCCCGGACTTTGGTCCCTTTTGTTATACCTTTCCAAGGACTCAGGAGAGGGGGGGGGAGACGAGACACTCTCCTGTACACCTCCTGTATATCACCTGTGTACCACCTGTATACCACCTGTATACCACCGTTGGTGCTCAGCTATCTCGAACTTTAAGAATTATCTGCACAGTTATTAATCTATACTTGTGCAGTGTCCCATAAATTTTAGGAATGCGGTATGAATGGTATGCCTGGTTGATGACTGTACCCACTTTTTAACTTCATTATTGTTGTATTTTTTGTGTTTTAATTGACTTACATGGGGAATGCATGGATGAGTGCCTGTGTATGTGTGAGAGGATTGAGAGTACAGCCTGGTGCCTCCTCCACTGAGTGCTATTGCAGAAGTGGTAGGGGGCCCAGGCCTACCTCCCGTCCCGGAATGAGTGACAAAAATCGCCTGCTGGATGGTGTGGAGGCTGTGGGAGGGGATATGGGGTCTACGGGTGCGGGGGTGGGCCGGAGCATTATGGTCACTATGGGGAGAGGCAGGTACAACGGGAACTTCAGGGCTAGCCATTACCGGGGAGGGAGGGTTCGCTACGTCACAGAGATCCCTCCTTCC